CCATCCTGTCAACATCTGCTTTATTTTGCTGTTAATGACTTTGCTACATATTATGACCTTTATCTGGGTGATCCTCAGGCATACATGAATGCTTGTTATCAGTTTATGAGTTGTGTCATTTATTCAGTATGAATTCATATTGTGTCTGTATTGTTATGCTATCCTAATAATACGCTCTGTTGTTTAAGATAGTTATACTTGACATAAAAATAATATTCAACTGCTAACAAATTGAAATTACAGTTAAAATTCCTAGTTAATATAACTAAGTGACTGCTACACTGCAGGAACTGCATCTGCACACTGTATCAAAAACTTGAACATCCCAGCCATATATGTACAACACGAGAAAGATAGGCAGAACAACTATCTCTGCCCTCGCATGTTTAACAGCATGTCACAGTATTAATACTATAACATAAAAACATCATGACACATTAAAATATGTAGCGCTTTCAAAAACTTAGATGTACAATATTGACCATTATTGCTTGGCAATACTGCTGAGAGTTGTTTATTGCTGTTTATCAACCAGCGTGCTTCAGCTCGGCTAGGCACGGCAAACATCGCTTTCCTTACTGTTGCATAACCTTGCTTCCACTGTTGTACAACCCGGCAACCAACCATTTATCAAGAGTCTGTCTTCGTGGTAACTCGTTGCACATCCCATTGCCCAACAACAGTTTGACATGTCAGTATTTTAAATAACAAGGGGTATTTTTATATTAACTAGGAATTGTAACTGTAATTTCAGTTTGACATGTTTTCATTTTTATTTGCTACCTTTTCAATATTATTTTTAGTTTTATATTAAATAACAAAGTGTATTATTAGGCTAGTATAACAATATAAACACAGTATCAATACATATTGCATAAATGATGCAACTCAGAAACTGACACCAAGTATTCATATATGCCTGTGGATGACCCAGATAAGGGTCAAAACATGTAGCGAAATCATTAACAGCAAAGTAAAGCAGATGTTGACACAATAGTGACTGCCTTGTTTATTTTCTGAACTTATTGTTATGTAGACTGCCTCATATCGTATCCTTTTCATTCCCAAAATGAAAATGAAACTGAAGGGACGATGTTTTGAAACAGTGTCTGACATCATGCTAAACAGCATTGAGGAAAGTGACTTCCATGGTGCTTTCTAAGCGTGAAAAGAAATAAGGGGATCGCCATATATGTTCCCAAGGAGACTATTTTGAAGGAGATTGCAGCCAAAATTGAGTAAGTTAAGCCAGCGTTCTTTTTTACTTAGTTCGGAAACTTTCCAGTACACCTCGTAGTACTGTTCACAAAGAAAAGTTTAAAGTTCATTAATTTTTATTTTCAGATACTTCCCTTTTCCCCCCCTAAACCTTGTGGTACAGTGACTTTTTATGGGAATGCACAAAAGGCAGAAGAGTCAGATGCTCTTCTCATGAAGTTTGGTCATCCCATAAGGTGTAAGCGCTGTCTAAAAACTGGCCATAGTTCCACATATTACCATATTGTATCTCTCCACTTGATTCATATCTTGCAATATGGCATTTTAGCCATTATCCTATAATCTAATATGTTGAACACTTTATAGCGTACTGGTTTGCTTCTTGTCAGCACTGTTTAGAGAGCTATGTATAGTTTCACATCTTCAATTCTGCAGATTACTGGACATTCTTTACAAAGTAAAACAGAATGGCTTGTGTGGAGGTCATGTCTGTCTGGCTGTCTGTGGCCTAGTAGTGGCACCTACCTAAACTGTTGAACATATATTCATAAATTTGATGTAGAAGATATTAAAATATTGTTGCATCCGATGAAATTTAAACCTAATTTGCTTTCACTAAAGACTGTCAAGTCATACTGACCCATAGTAAAGCCAGGTTTGCTTAGGGTCATGCATAAATGGACTTCCCCCCATATCTAAAAATCCATTCCACAGATCTTGTTAAAATTTCGTCTGAAAGAGCTGTTGGGCTGGGCATGAAGCTGACCACTTGCCTCCATCCAGTTCCAAGGTCAAGCATGGTGGAGCTGTACCTTCGCTCCCCATACAGCTTCAGCACATTAAGCACAAGGACAATTTTACCTTTTCTCATTTAAGAGCTACTGGGCAGTTCTTATTTTCATTCATATTGATCCATAATAAGACCTGGTTTACATAAGGCCATGAAAGGACTTTTCCATAAACCCATAAACTGTTTTACAGATATTGTTGAAATTTGATGTGGGAGACTTCACCAGAAGTTGCTGGGCAGTTCCATTTTTCAACCAAACTAATCCATAATAAAGCCTAGTTTATGTAGCTCATAAATAGATTTTCCCGTATATTCCATAAACCGTTTCACATAATTTATATGGAAGACTTCCACAAAATGATGTTGTACAACTCCATTTTATAGCCATAATGATCAATAAAAAACCTAGTTTACAGTAGTTCATAAATTGAGTTTTCCATATGTCCCATAAATTCTACCACAGAGAGTGTTGTAATTTAGTATGGGAGACTCATTGATTCACATTTTGTTCCTGTTTTTAAGTAAGCTTCAAAGAATGCCACTAATAATTCTATATACTGGATTATGTAGTACACCTTTTCTGAAATTGGCTATATATATTTCATGTAATATGCAGATACTGGAGTTTAGCTTTCTTAGATCTAATTATGTTGAACACTTCATGTTACATTTTGTGGTGCCAGAGTTGGTCAAGAATGACCATAGAATGTGGAATAAATCATAAAAACATGAAACAGATATGTACAATACACCTGAATCTTTCATACTGAAAATACACACAGAGTTGGTATAAGGTATTTAGATGCTTCAAATTGAGTGACACATATACACTATAATTTTTACAACCTCCATATAATTCTCAGTAGCGTATTTGGTTGAGGCACTTTGCTGCAAGGTGGAAGGTTGTGGGTTTGATTCCCGATGAGATCATTGGCATTTTCTCTTGACCTAATTATTCCAGTTGCACTATGGCCCTGGGGTAGAAATAGAAATGAGTACCAGGAATCTTCTTTTGGGGGGGGGGGCTTGAAGGATGGCTGGTGCATAAGGCTGAAGACATCACTGCCACATCTTAGCCATTTGTCTAGGAAAATGTGGGACCCTCAACATCTCACATCCCTGTGGGCCTCCACGGCCTTTTATAGGGATTGATTTACCTTTTACCTTTACCAGGTAATTCTTAGTATCATGGCCAGATCAAATATGTTGAGTTTTCAGCCACAAACTCCCAGCAAGGGATGATGGCTTAGGAGTTTGTCATGGGGATAAGAGTCCTATAACTGAAAAAGTAGCATGTTATGAATGTTTACAAAGTATCTCAGATTAGAACATATTTTTTTTTGGAATAAGATAGTGAAAAAAGGGCATGACATTTTGAACTTGGAACTTCTATAGTTTTTATAGACTAAATTCATTGAAGTGAGTAACAACAGAATTAGCAGAATATAATTTAAATTCAGTGGGGATGTGAGAAGTTACTTGGTCAAAGTTGTTGATGAACCAGCAGATGACAGACATTCTTTGGAAAAGAGAATGTCTGTCACCACTTGGCAGGTTTTTAATACATGATGGAGTCATATATTAGTGTCATATTGTGTTAGTGAAATTTCATTATTTTATTTCCCTCACAGCAGTAGGTGGTATGTGCACACCATGCATTTGTTGTTTCTTACAACATATTTTGGCTCATTAAGCCACCACCAGTTATTTGATACATTCACCTGTATTCATCTGCTGGTATTCCCACATTGGCTAGTGTCAACATACTTGAGTACTGGTTTCTTAGTTGTATGTAATATAAAAAGTAACGCAGTCATGTTGACGGTTAAGAGGGCAAGGCTTATTAGTGATTGGTTGTCACAAGTAAATACTAAGGAGGTGTAATTACAGATAGGAATGACTTTGGCCTCTTTGTGTCTTGGTTTATTTGTGGACACGTTATCAGTGTATAGGTTATGTGTTACTGAATGTTTAGTTGGAGAGATTGTGGAAAGTAGCACAGGCAACCTCTTGTAAGGTACAGCCCTAACATTTGTGTGGAGTGACTGAGGAAACCCAAAAAAAAAAACCCCAGGATATTTGGCTTCCTCTCTTAGATTCAAGCCAGGGACCTCTCTGATACTAAGCAGATATGCTAACCCCTACATCATGAATGCAGTGAGTTTCTGATAGAAAGTGCAACTCATATTACTCAAAATATGAAAAATTAAATTTTTAGTTTTGGGGTATCATTAGTGGTCATGAAATTATTAAAGTCCTTCTGCTGTATGAACCAGGGTATATTGTACCTTGTGTGGGCATCATCACAGAAGGGAAGTCTTGTGTAATTATGTATGAATTTCACTGGCCTAAGAATACTGGATGTAACTTTCTAATGATGGCATAACTAACCGATGATGATGATGATGATGATGATGATGATGCACCCTCTTTCCCATAGCAGATGGAGTATAGCTGTCACTCCGTTGATGGAGGGGGCCATATTAAGAGTTGCATTCTCAGAACAGTCGTTATTTGTTGAGAAATCAGTTGTCGGTTGTCACATATTGGGTTAATAAGGCAATTAGAATCACAATTTAGAAATTATAATTTGGAGTCCTGTATCTAACCATACCAGCCTTCTACATATTTGTAAAAACACACTGTGAATGTGTATTTATTATGTTGGATTTTAGGTTCTCGCAGCAGTGACTATGGGTTGTGATGCCATGTAGTTCAGAGACAGCCTGATGTTTTGGAGAAACATATAGCCTGTCTCTTTAGGATTGAAGCTCAGTTTCAGCTCAGTTTCCACCTTCATCTGCTGGTTTCTTACTTGGCTTCCTTGTTGACCCTGAAGAGGGACAGTATGTTCCTCTGAAACATTGGGTTCTGCCAAAGCTACACAGCTTCACAGCCCAGAAGACTGTATTCATCATCTATTCATTAATTTATTTTCTTACTTATTTTTTTATTTATTTGTCTTTAAACAACAGTGCACATTATATTTTAGGGACCAGTCTCTGTGGCAGTATTTGCTGAAGACCATGAATTATCAGAAGCTCTGTGGGGAATCGCAAGCTTGCGTCTCTGCTATTCTGCAGTCCGTCATAATGTTTCGTTCCAACTGGTTTCTCCACTTCCAGCTGGAGGACATCCTCCCCTTACTGTACCACCAGATCTCTTGCCTCCATGCCAGGGTCTCGTACTGGAAGCTAACCAACAAAAGAACAATTATGCAGGAAATAGACGCTTTCCTAACAACTTGCTACGTAATGTTGCCCGGCGTGGAACTTCAGCTGAATTTATTCTTGTTGTGGACATTGACATGCTACCCAGCTTTAACCTCAGACAGGTACAGATGTGGTTATTATAGCTGCATTCAGTATAAGGTACGTTAAATGTGAGTGATGAAGCTTAAACTTGGTGCCTTCCCCTCCACATTACTTACAGTTGCAGTTACTTACTCACTCCGTCAGCAGCTGACAATCACTTCCCCGAGGAAGTTGTTTACTTCATTATTATTCACTCTTTATATCATTATCATCATCTTTCATAAACTATAGTAAATTTTATTGTTTCTTAGTATCAGATTTATCTGTTAGTTTGCCATCTTAGAATCTGCAGTAATCTGTTCTGTCAGTTTCTCTTTACCAAACCCCCATCTTTGTAATTTTCCACTCTTTTTTTTTTCTGATGTTTACCAGTATGACACGTTTTTCTTTTGAGCCTAAGTCTTACTGGGTTTTTGGACTTTGTCCATCATCCATTATTCTAAGAAACACTAGAGAACACAACGTTTTGGAAACTGGATCTGTTTCAGTCCTCCGGTAAGAGGGGAGACACCTGCTCTGTTGGGGATCCCCTGAGACAATGTGTTCTCTAGTTTTTAGAATGCCAGGGCCAGTGATTGAGGTTAGCTCTTTCTAAGGGACCCAACAGAGTAGGTGTCTCACCTGAGGAAAGAACCAGATCCAGTTTCTGAAACATGTTCTCTAGTTTTTAGAATACCAGACGATGGACAAAGTTAAAAAACCCAGTAATCCTGAATGTTATACACCATCGTCAGAACCCTTTAGAATCTACATTTTTTGGTAATAAACTTTATAGTAATTATTATAATTAATTTTAATAAAATGAAGTGACATTACTCACCAGTGGAGATTTATAACAGTTCAGGTAAAACTACAAATGACAGTTGGTGAGAGTGCAGGAAGATGTATGCTGAGTGTAAGTAGCTGCTAGCAAAACAGGCATGAAAGAAGGGTTCTCTCTTCTGGAATGTAGCACTGAGTAGTTGGTTGAAAGTCAACTTGTGGCCCATATCTTCAACAGCATGAAGTGGGTAGCAAGCAGAGCTTCATTCTTTGACCCTGAAGATGGCGGCCACATATTCCTCCAAAATGTCAGTTGACTTTCAGTGGACCACATGGCGTTATATCCTGGAAGACAAACTCTTCATAACCATCACTGTGAGAATCTCGAATCCTACAGGTGGGGAAGATTTTGTGTTCATACTTTCCCAGGTCCGACTTCAGTGCATGCTGTTGATGTATCATTTCAAAACTAAGACTTAATAATTGCCCACATGAGATATCATGATTGTTATGTTCCAGATCATAGGAAATGAACATCTTTGAATGTTATGTAACACAGAACACCTTGTACTCTTAGGGCATTTACATTAGTGATGTTACAGTGGCTGTGTATATAGCTGTAATGGAAGAGATAAATTAATACATAGTTTTCTTTTGGGATGGGGGGACCTCTTTGAATAAACAGCTTGAAAGACTGAGGAAATGAAAGGTAACTTTATCCATTATCAGCCATGTGTGACACTATTGTGATGGTCCAACTACCTGGGTATCATTATATTGCAACACCTCTTTATTAGAAGTCAGCAGCATGTGGTTGTGAAATATGTGCCAATACTGTACACAAATTCTGTTACATGCTTCAGCTGTGAGTTTTTATAAACATTGACCCTGTCAGTGTAATTTTTGGTGTGAAATGATCAGATTCCTTTAGTGTACTGTTTATGTAGACTTGAGCTGGGATGGTTCTGAAAGGTGATGCTAATCAAGTGTCCTTGATGCATCATTTGATAACACGTAGATACTTTCACTTCTTATGTGTGCTTGTTTGTTTGGGATGTTTTCTTGTGTTCACAGATGCAAACCTTAGTAGAAATATTGAAATAATGTAGGATGAAGCACAACTGATATTTTTCATTTTTCGTCTGTAATTTGAGTAATATTTGCATAAATCATTTCTTCATAAGGAGAGGAAGAAAGGAAATGGGATGGGTATGGGGCATTACACTATTCATATTGAGCTGCCCACAGTACCTTGTCTTATATTGAGCCCTTTATTTGTGCACCCTGGCCACATCCTATGAACAAGAGCCAGATAGACAGGATGTGACCATATGGGCATTGTTTACAAAGTGGAAACATGGTGAATGAGATGTGATAAGGTATTGCTGCCATGCATTCAATGAGTATGATGTCACAGTGCTTGATAGGGAAGCCATCCACAGTATGAAAACAATCTTCAAGATGAAAGCACTGTTTTTCATAGTGTCACATGTAGGAGTAACTGTAGATAGGATTTTGGATTGGATCATTCGGTTTATTGACACCTTAGTCATTCAACTCATGACTACAGACAGTACACCACCATCATTGATCACTTTGCAGTTCACCATTACGCGCACACACACACACACACACACGAGGGTTCTCAATCTCCACTAGTCATCTCCTGGCAATGGATTTATCAGTCTCACCATCACTTCAAATCACACATGAAGTCTTTTTAGCACAGTCCTTGCCCTTTCATGACAATAACTCAAATGAACTCTTATTCAGCTGAACTCTCTCAACTTCTCACAAGAACTAACTGCTCCCTTGGAACTTCCCTTTGTATAACCTTGGGTTGGACCCCTAGAAAATGTCATCTTCTGCTGTGTCGTATTGTTGTAGGTATGTTTAGTGATCTGTTGCCTAGCAATAGACACCCTATTGTTGTGCACATTGGCTTCCACAGGAATGTGTTTACCAATTTGTTGCCTAGCAATGGGTATACATGTCACAATACATTCCTTTTTTTCAAATTACATAAAATACTGACTATGCAGGTGTCAAAATATGTATAGGATGTACTCTAAGTCATCACAGTTTACATTGTGGCCTTGAAAAAATATAATTTCATTCTTAGAAAGTAACACTACTGAGTTTGTTTGAGGAGTGGGAACAAGATAGAAGGTTAAAGGCAATAAACGTTAAAAGTTTTCATGTGATTCCTTATTTACTGATTGATTTTGACCTTTGCTTTGAAGACTTTATTATTAATCGTTAAATGTAATTTTTCATTGCAGGATTTTTATGATTTTGCAGTGAAGAGTCGCCTCTTTACTGAAACCCACCATGAAGACAAAACAGTATATGTGGTACCTGCATTTGAGGCACGCAAGACTGTCAGGTCCCCATGGACAAAGGCGGAATTATTGAAACTTGCTGATGGAGGACACATACGTCCCTTTTACATTGAACTTTGTTGGAAATGTCAGGTAATATTCATATTGTTACTTTCTTTACAGAGATGATTAATTTAAGAAGAATGACCCACATAGAACTAACTTGGTAAAGGATGAGAACAGTGATCTGCTTACAGATTCCCACAATGTTTTAAGTAGGTGGAAGAATACTTCTCTCATCTATTCAATGTGATACATACAACTGAGTCACTGATACCTGAGCTTAGTCCAATTTTGAAATTGCTATTCCAAGTTGAAGTTCTGGCACAACTGATTCAAGCAGGAGGTGAAACAAACATTACTCTCTGAATCCATAAACTCTCTAATTCTATTTGGAATAGGAGAACTTCCTGGGAAATGGTAGGAGTCTATTATAGTACCTGTTTGCATGAAGACTGATAGAACTCATTGTATTAATTACTGAAGTATATCCCCGTGATCAACTTAATACAAGAATTTGTCCAATATCAATGTCTGTCTCCCAAGGTTAAGTCCATACATAGAAAAAATTATTGGTGACCATCAGTGTGGGTTTTAATGTAGTGAAACAACTACTGATACGTTTTCTTGCATTCATCAGATACTGGAGAAAAAATTGGAGTACAGTGAGACGGTAAATGAGCTATTCATAGACTTCATGAAAGCCTATGATTCAGTTAGAAGGGATGTATTGTATAGTATTCTCATTGAGTCTGGGGCACCCATGATACTAGTTAGGTTTATTAAAATGTGTTAAATAAATCTGTAAAATGGCCCATATAAGTAAACATTTGTCTGGTAATTTTCCTATCCAAAATGGTCTGAAACCAGGAGATGCTTTATTGACATTGCTTTTTAATTTTGCTTTAGAAAAAACCATTAGGAAGGTCCAAGAAAGTGAGATTGGATTGAAATTGAATGGGATACATCAGCTGGTGGTCTCTGCTGTTGAAGTTAATTTACTGGGAGAAAACATAGCCATGAAGACAAATGCAGAAGCTCTGGTAGACACCCGTAATGAAGACAAAACATAACATAAAGATCTTATAGGAAAAAGAAGTTTAGGAAGACCTCTGAAATTATGAATTTTATCTTGTATTATCTGTAACAGCTTTCAGTAGGCAGGATACTGGAAAGGTTGATGATTTTATATAGTAGAAAGTGGATTTCCTTACACAGTGGTCTAACTACATTTTGATACTTATTTCAGTCAATATTAACTGGATTGAGGAGTATTTTAAACAAAAATGACTGCTGGTTGACCAGTTCCTCGGGTAAATTGCTGCTGGTCCTTGCCAGTACAGTCATTCTTGGTTCCAAGTCCCACAGGACTCATGACCACATTTCACTTAAGCAGTTGCCTCTCTATAAATAATACCCACCTCTAGGCAACAGATTCCTAATAAGCAACAATTGAACAACAGAGGAACAGTGTTTTCTGTGCAGTCCATGCCTGTATGTTATTCATTCATTCATCCATCAGTAATCTGTCAGATGACAGGTCCACAGTCTCTTCCAAAACAGTTCCTCCACTTAATGCGATCCAGAGCTTTCTCCTTCAAATGAGAATATCCTCTTCTGTCCCCAAGGTCATCCAGCATCTTCTTACGTCTTCTTCTCACTTGTACCTGCCCCTCTATCTTTCCTTCAATAACTTATTTTAGAAGGCAGTTACTGCATAAGATATGACCAATCCAATTAGCCTTCCGTTTTCTTATTTCGTGTAGGATATTCCTGGGTTCACTCACTCTAAATAACACTTCTTCATTTCTCACATAATCGGTCCAACTGATCATCTCCATCCTTCTCCAACACCACATTTTGAAACTTTCCAGGTGTTTCTGATCTACTGCCCTAACTGTCCAACTTTCAGCCCCATACATAGCAATGCTCCAGATGTAGCATTTCACTAGTTTCTTTCTCAAATTTAAGTCCAGTTTGCTGGTAAAAAGATTCTTCTTCTTGCTAAATGCAGCTTTTGCCATGGCAATCCTAGATTTAATTTCACAAGTACACCTTCCATCATCTGTTACCAAGCTACCCAAATATTTAAAACATTTCACATTCTCCAGTTGTTTCTGGTCTATCTTTAATGTGACTGGGGTTGGTTGTCTCGAAATTTTCATTACTTTTGTTTTTTCCACATTCATTTCCATGCCATAGCACCTTCCAATTTTGATTAGTCTATCAATCATACCCTGTAGCACAGTTTCTTCCCTAGGCATTAACACAAGGTCATCTGCATATTTCACAGGTTGAATAATTTGCCCTCCTAATATGAAGTCTCCAAGCCCATCCAGAGTTTCTTTGGTAAGGCATTCGCTGTACAGGTTGAACAAAATTGGTGATAAACAGCATCCTTGTCAAACTCCTCTTCCAATCTTCACACTTCTTGTCTCCCCTCTGTCCAATCGCACTCTAACTTTCTGATCCATGTACAATTTACTAATCAGTCTTCTTTCCCACCAATTGATACCTGTTTCCTTTATGATCTGCTGTTTGAAGCCATTCCCAGATGATTGGTGAAGACAGAAGACTGTGAATTAACAATAGCCCTATAGTTTCTTGTTATGATCTGTAAGTAAACAATGAATGCAATTACCAATCCACGGTAGCATAGTTGGTTGAGGCTTTATGCTACAAGCCGGAAGGTCACGGGTTCAAGTCCTGATGGGGTCATTGGATTTTTTTCAACTGACCTAATCCCTCCAGCCAAACTATGTCTCTAACAGAAATGAGTACCAGGAACTAATTAAATAATTTTCCTGGGGAGTAAAATGTGGCCAGTGCATAAGGCTGACAACCTTACCGCCATCTTTGAGCCGATTGTCTAGATCAAGGGTCTCCAAACTATGGCCCCTGGGCCACATGCGGCCCACGAGGTGATTTTATCTGGCCCGCGAAAGAATTGTGCAGAATTGCGCCAATTGAACTAATTTTCCAATGAGTACTGTTAAAAAAATACTTGTTCAGTGATTTCAAATTCATTAATTAAGATTGTGTTAAAAATATATTAATATTCCATATTATGTTAATATTAATATTATTCACAATTTTACTAATTCTGGACCGTATACTGCGCAGTATTTTCGTACTTGTTCGTCCTCGATCAGCAGTGTCACTTCATGGCAGAGTAGGTAGCGCGAGCAGTTCGTTACTAGCCGTCTTGTGCATGAGACTTCTTGCAGTGGTGCAGTGTAATTGTAACAGTTCATCATCACCTCAATTTAATCAGATTTTAAGAATGCAAAGAGTTCCATCATTCACATTAATTGTTTTATTATAATTTGTGATTAAATTTGAGCATTTGCTGCTACTGTCTGTTGTCATTAATATGCAATAATTTATTCTCACGTACTTTGTATTTAGTTTATGAAATTCTTTGCCTTCAATAAAACTCATATACATAGAGTTATTAATTTCTCATTTTATCTGGCCCGTTGAAAGTGCTGAATTACCTAATGTGGCCCGCGTTTCGAAAAGTTTGGAGACCCCTGGTCTAGATAATGTGGGACCCCCAACTTCTCACAACCTTATCAGCCTTCATGGCCTGTTATAGAGATAGCTTTACTTTTTTTTACTTTTTACCCCCATCTATAGTCACACTCAGACATGTGACAATATGTCACAGAGCCACTAATCATATATGTGGCGAGTTCTACAAGCCACAGAAAATGTAAGCCGTTTTGCTACTACAATCTTATTGTATCTTGGAATTAATCTGTGTAAAACCACATAATTATTTTTCATTCATTGTCTTGAATATGTGCTTGATGTTGCAGGTGCACACAGACTATGAAGCCTGGCAAAAAGAACCGCCTTCATCAGGACTGGCACCACTGTTTGAGGTTTTGTGGAAAGATCCATGGGAACCATTTTATATTTCACGTAACTCAGTTCCATTTTATGATGAGAGATTCAAGCAATATGGTTTCAATCGAATAAGTCAGGTACTCCAGCGATTGGTGATTCCTTTCACATAAGATCATTTTATGTTAGAAATTATTTACATTCTCTTTATGATATTGTGTACTATATAACATTTTTATTTTGGAAGCTTATATCAAAAATTGTGTGATGTACTTGTATGATGTGGTCAATTTTTTGAAAGCTGATTGCCCCTTTTTTTTCTTCTTCTTCTTCTTTTTTGCCTTCAGGTTTGTGAGCTGCACGTTGCAGGCTACAAATTCTCTGTGCTCAATAATGCTTTTCTGGTTCACCATGGACTGAAGACTGCCACTTCATTTCATGAAACCAAAGACTTGGATCAAGAAAGGAATCGTTTGCTGTTTCGACAGTTTAAAACTGAACTCAGAGAAAAGTATCCAGAATCATCTCGGAGGTGCTACTGATATCCATAGATGTCTGTAGCATATGAAACCGAAGCCTTACACGTATATTTTGAAATCTTCTCTCCAAGTTGATGGCTCAAAAACAAATTTGAATTAGGCAGACAGAATACAACATTTTAATAGAAATTGTCATTAGCATTGCACTGTTCATGTATTCAGTTCAAAGTACTGTCTAATACAAGATATTAATTAAAGAATGTGTTGTATTAGATGCTATTTTGAATGAAATACAATACTTTTGTGGACACTTTCCAAGCTCAGTTAATTGTCTTGACAATAGGGGTATGTATAGTGAAATGTCTGTGCATTTTTATCTGACAGAGTATTGATATGTCTTATATTATTACAGAAGAGCCAATCAGAAATTAATACTAGTCATCATATGAGATTATAAATATGTACATTATTCATTATTAATTACTTCCAGCTTAAGGTATACCAGAGCTATTGTGGTTTCGAGAAGTAACTCTGCATGAGCAGGTACATTTTACCAGTTTCTAAGTTACCTTTTTACATTGTAGACCATACATATTACATCTCAGGTATGTTCATTGAATGATTAAATATAAGGAAGAAGTGAAACAGAAGAGTAGGATATGAATCCAGTTGGTAATATTTACTGTATTTCAGATACAGTTAATCGTGGTGTTTAACACAGCCTTATTGAAACGAAATGTGTTTGGGACTAAATTCATTAATACAACATTAAAAACTGAATGTCACATACAGGATGTAACTGAAAGGTGTGGACAAATTTTGTACACAAGTTCCACATACCAAAACAAGAAAACACGTCCATATCATCATGTGTCCAAAAACATTTAATTTGTGACTTACAGCTGAAAGACTGGATTTATAATAAGTGCCCAAAATGTCCTCCATGAGATGAAGTGTACACCGTGACATGTCTCATCATGGACCACTGCATCCATACGGAGATGCCAGAGTAGTTGTGGATAGTCTGACAGGCATCCACAATGTGATGGTATAGTGCCTGTTCATTATCAACAGGAGCTGCATACACAAGGGACTTTAGCTATGCCCATGGGTAAAAGTCCAGAGAATTCAATTCTGTCTAGTGTGAAGGCTATGCAATGGGTCCTCTTGTATATATCAATCGGTTATGAGGTGTGTTATTGGGAACATCTTACTCAGCACAGCTAAAATGTCCCGGAGCACTATCATGCATGTACCACATGCTGCCAGTGGTACATCTGTAACTGGTAACAGAGAAACACACTTGAAGATCATACCACAGTATGCACAAGCAGGCAGTTACTACCCTGCTAGAAGGATATGAGCTATCAGAGATGATAACAAGAATTGAATAGGTCATGACAGTATTCTTTCAGACATAACTCACAATTTAAATATTTCTGGACACATCGATGTGGAAATTTTTTCTCGTTTTGACATGTGGAACACGTGCCCAGAGTTTCTCTGCGCCTTACAAAGTTCAGAGTTTCTTAACAATAATTAGTTGGATTATACTGGTATTGGCACATTGCTTGTTCCTGAAACCTTCATTTTAATAACAGTGAAAATATGTAACAGCAATACTAACCTCCATGTCATCACCATGTACTGACTGTATATTCATACCATTATTGTACATTATGTTACAAATTCATCCAAAAATTCTGCATTATTATAAATGAAAAGTGTATACTTTATGACTGTAAACTTTTATATGTATATTTGTGCATTATATTTCTTATAACCTGGATTTGCTGTAACCCCACACTTTGTGAAAATGAGTAGTTATTTTAACCCATCCATACATGGAACATTTTCCTAGGCACTGAGTCTTCAGCAGCAGATTTTTACCTTAATGAAGCAAAGTTCTTTAATTACAGTAAATACTGATACTGGTTAGAAGTCTCCCCACAAGATATCAACATAACACAGTGTGTGAAGTATTGTAGAAGGCCATGACAGGGCAAATAAAACAATTTCAACTTGATGAAGCAGTAAGGGGCATGAGCATATTGTTTGATCATTTCTGCTCTCTTCGTGACATAGGCAAGTTTCTCAACACTGCATGTTGCACTTATGAATGTGATTAGGTTAATGAACATTTGATATGAAGAGAAGTGGATGATCTCAGCACATCCTTCCTGCAACAGATCTTCATGAGGTATGAGTTCAGTAACTTTTACACAAAGTTGTCATATAACTACGAGGGAGAGTCAGTAAACATCTCATAAATGGAACTAAAACAGCTGTAATGGATGTAACAGGTTTTCTCTGTGTATCAGTAGGCAACAGCAGTCAGGCTTCATGACAGTCCAGGTAGCAGACATGCATGTGCATGTGCAGAGGCTGGTTTCAACATTCAAAATGGCAAACATACTTGAATGTACTACCAAAGAACATTGTTCTGTTTTGCAATTTTTGTGGGCAAAAGGACACAGTGTAAAGGATATTCATAAATAGATGTTTCCTGTTTACAGTGGGAAGTGTTTGTTGTGTAACGTGGTTCACAACTGTGTGGCATATGTTTCGCTGATGACGAAGAGGTTTCAACGAAGGTGAGGAAGTGGCTGAGTCAGTAGTCAAAAGACTTCTGTGCTGCGGGTTTTGACGCACTGGTAAAGTGATGAGACAAGCACATCAATGTTGGTGGAGGGTATGTCGAGAAATAAATGTGATTTCCAGGTTCAAGTATCATGTTCTATGTTTTATATTCATTTGTGACCTATTCACTGACTCCCCTTGTAGATGCTTTGTGAATATGTATATTCATGAAGTCCAGCTTCGAATTTCATGGTCATTATCTTCAAAACAGCATGACATATGAAGGAAATATGTGGTGTGGATCACCCAGAGTTGCAGTGTTTACTAAGCCTGAATAGGTTCATCAGATGGACCAGAGAGATTAGACATCCTTTGGGTCTACTTGACAAATTGATACAGGCTCCAAGACATGTATATTTTTATTGGACGTGAGGTTCTCATCACTGAATGTGAATAGTGAGAGCCCCACATTTCAGAGGAACATACTGCTCCAATCTTAGTGTTGAAGGTTAAGCTGAGGAAGAAACCAAGAGTTCGCAGCAGCCCTCTCCATTACAAGGCTTTTGTTCAGTCTGTTTTTATATCTGTTTAATATCACTTTCCTAATTTGGGATCATAGACATATTATCAGTATCAGTAATTATCTGAATGCCCCTCCCCCCAAATGTATGCAGGTTTTCTTAACTATTTCAGTGGTTATTGTTCAGTTTGGGCCAATAATAAATACTTCTGGTAAATTTTCATACGCTGATCACAGTGGCCATGCAACCTTAGGGATGAACCGTTTTTGGCTGCTTGAACATGGATGATGGGTTCAGATCCCACTTGAGGCATGGCTGTCGGTATGCGTTTATTCTATTTGTGTTGTTCCATTTGTAGATGGCAGCCTTGTGACAGGCTGATTCCCTGTCCAAGGAGTCCTATTAACTGTGTATAGATAAAGAACCTGACAAAGAGGCCAAGGTGTACAAGGGCTGTAGAGCCATAGATAGAAATTTTCGTAAGGGTTGTATACTTGCTGGAAATAGTCTAAAAGAATGGAATAATCGATTTGGTATAACTTAACTATGGGATAATAGACAATGTCAGTATCAGATTTCATCAAGATCCATTAATTCAGTTATTACATGCCTAAGATATCATAGATCATAATACAAGTTTTGGATTTAAATCCTTTTGTTGCATGTGTGGAACCCCAAACTGACTGAAATACAATACAATGTTTACTGTCATTTCAGAGGAACATACTGCTTCCATCTACAGAGTAGAAAAATAAGGTATGGATATGGGGAGAGGAGCCCTCAGTTAACCAATCAGAGGGAGTAAGAAGAAGAGGAAAGAAACGGGACTGTGGACCAGACAGAGTTGCAAAAGATATTTTGTAGTTCAATTTTTCACACTAACTGGACATATCTCATAGATACAGTCAGAGAACAAAAACTATATTATTAATTGATTTAGAAGGGCTATACTGTGTTCCTGACATGTTAAGATACACATTGGATAAAACCCAGAATGTGCCCTACTCGTCTCTGATATTCATCTGTAGGCACTGCAAATGAAAATACTAAGAGACTCTTTGATTTTTCACAGAAATTTAGATTTCCTCTGTTTTGTTTATTTCTTGCTGTCACTTTTCCTACACTGTGTATAAGGCATTAGGAATTAACAGTTAATAAAGGGACTAATGGAAATGAGGAAAATGTGTTAAGAATAGCCAATCTCTTTGGGATGTAGACTTGAGTACCTATCATATACAATGCAGCAGGTGTTTGCTTAACTAATGGGTTTCTAGAATTACTAAAAATAATGGGTGGGTTTTAAATATTTGTGTAGCTTGTTAACAGATGATGGAAGGTGTACATGTGAAATTAAATCTAGGATTGCCATGACAAAAAGCTGCATTTAACAAGAATAATCCTTTTACCAGCAAATTGGACTTAAATTTGAGAAAGAAACTAGTGAAATGCTACATTTGGAGCATTGCTTTGTATGGGGCTGAAACTTGGACACTTAGGGCAGTAGATCAGAAACACCTGGAAAGCTTCGAAATGTGGTGTTGGAGAAGGATGGAGAAGATCAGTCGGACCGATTATGTGAGAAATGAAGAACTGTTATTTAAGAGTCAGTGAGCAGAGGAATATCCTACACGAAATAAGAAAACGGAAGGCTAATTGGATTGGTCATATCTTACGCGGTAACTGCCTTCTAAAAGAAGTTATTAAGGGAAAGATAGAGGGGCGGATAGAAGTGACCAGAAGATGAGGAAGAAGACATAAGAAGATGCTGGATGACCTTGGGGACAGAAGAGGATATTTTCATTTGTAGGAGAAAGCTCTAGATCACATCAATTGGAGGAACTGTTTTGGAAGAGACTGTAGACCTGTCACCTTGACAGATTACAGATGAATGAATGAATGGGTGGGTGTGCAAAGTTTAAGAGGGAATCCTACATATGACTTCATGCACTTCACACATGCATAAGTGACACTCTGCTCTCTAATCATCCTAATATTTAATGCTCATATAGCCTTAGATACTGACAGAATCAGGGCACATGGTAGCATGGTTGAGGCGCTATGCTACAAGCCAGAAGGTTAGGGGTTCAAGTCCCAATGAGGTCATTGGATTTTTTTCAACTGACCTAATCCTTCCAGCCACACTATGGCCCTGGGGTCAACTCAGCCTCTAACAGAAATGAGCACCAGGAATATCTTGGGGAGTAAAGGCGCATAGGGCTGACAATCTTGTCGCCCTCTATGAGCTGACTGTGTAAAAAATGTGGGAACCTCAACATCTCACAACCCTATGGGCCTCCATGGCCTGTTACAGAGATACCTTTACTTACTTACTGACAGCATCAGTAAATATACACTTGTAATATCAGAAGTTAAACACACAAAATATTCAGTTTCTTAATGTTTTATATATACATGTACGAGGGTTGGTACTTTAATAGTGGCAACTATTTATTTACAACTGATACAAAATAGATGCATGTTTCGAAGTTTTACTGTCCTTCAGTGTAGTCACCAGCATTGTGTACAGCCCATTGCCAGCGATGTGGAAGTTGCAGGATACCTTTAGCAGTGCCTGTTGTATTGATAGTTTGAATGGAGTGGTCTACTGCATGAAGAATCTCTGGAACAGTTCTGAAGCAAATGCCACGAAGTGGCTCCTTCATCTTAGGAATCAAGTCAAAGTCACAAGGGTTTAAGTCCGGGGAGTATGGTGGATGATACGGCACTTCCCAGCCCCATCGATCGAACACAGCCACAGCTTGCGCAGCATGTGGCCGAGCACTGTCCTGCAAAATGATGGGTAGGTTCTACAGAAAGTGTCGCCACTTCTTTCTCAAAGCTGGTTGCAGGTTGTTCCAAAAATACTGCACACTGATGGTCTGCTGTCGGGGAATGTTATGCGTTAGGATAACACCATCACAGTCGTACACGAGAATCACCATAACTTTCACATTGCTGGGGTTCTGACGAACTTTTGATTTCATGGTGACCCGTAATGACGCCATTTGTTCAATTGGCTTTCATTTTGTACGAGTGCAATTTGGCCCACGTCTCATCCCACTTAATGATATGGCGTATGAAAGCCTCTCCTTCACGCTCATAGCGAGCGCTCCAAGTGGTTACAAGCAGTGTCGTATCATAGCCATTTCTGCATTTCCATCAAATCATGCGGAACCCGTCGTGATGCAATTTTTCTCATGCCCAGGTGTTCCTTCAGAATGTGAAGCACAGTCATATGTGCTAATCCTGTCTCTTGGGCCAGCTGACGAATCGTATGGCGTCAATCACTCTCCAGTAATGCGGAAAGTACATACACTTCTTCACTGATACTAGGACGACCTGGCCAATGCATGTCTGCCACATTTTGGCTTCCCTTGTTGAAGGCTTTTACCCACCTTGCCTCTTGAAGACCTTGATGACACTGTCGTGCTATACGACCTCTGGCACATTCAATCTTTATCCAACTCCATTGTTCCCGTTTCGAAAATATCATGACAACACTACATTAGATCGCCAGCTAACACAAGGCTCCGTTCTCCTCGTCACTGTGCATGCGCGTGATCTGGGAAGGGAGAGTCCATTTGCTCTGAGTTAAGGTAGGTATGTAACTAACGTGTGGTATAAGCAACATTATTTGGTTCCATTGCATGGTGTCTCTACAGCAGTGTTGCCACTATTACAGTTCCAACCCTCATATATATATAAAGGAAAAAATCTTTAAAAAATGACGACTCTGTCAAGGTTCGGCCACACAGGGCACTACATACGCTATGTTCGCTATATGAACAGAAAAATATCTCCCTTTATTGACAATGTGACTGGCCTCACAGACTTCCATATGCTATGTTCCCTATGTTAGCTGCGCTGCAGAGTGTACACAGCGTATGTAGCGAACATAGTGTAGCACTCTTTGTGGCCAAACCTTCATGGCAGTTCCATCATGAGTGATTCCTAAGTAACTAACTTTATGACTTAAAATTTTCCAAGGACTGTACTTGCAGTTTTCTTTCCCAGACCATTATTTGTAGGCATACAGTACATTAACACAATCTCTGGGCCTCTCCCACCTAGGACAGAAGTTAGCTGCATGTGCAGAGACATTCTAATATGTGATCAAAATATACCACCACAATGGACAAATTCCTTTGCAGCTTGCATGCTACCAGTGGGCATACAGCAGTGGCATGAAAACAGATCTAGACATACAACAGACACCAGTGACCGCCATTATGAAAGGTCAAGTTTCTGCAGTAGACACTGGTAACAACTGTGGTGTGATGGAAATGGTCTCCAGCAGACACTGGTAACTGCCGTTGTGGAAGGTATAGGGTCTGCGGCAGACATTTGTAACAATTGTGGTTTGATGGAAATAGTCTCCAGCAGACACTGGTAACTCCCATAGGGTCTGCAGCAGACACTGCTAACAACCATGGTGGAAGGTATGAGGTCTGCATTTGACACCAGTGACCACCACCATGCAAAGTAAAGAATCTCCAGCAGACACTGGTAACCAGCAAGTGACAGAAATGGTCCATAAGCAGAGCCAGTGACCTCCATGGTGTGAGGTAAATGGATCTGCAACATGCACTGCTGGCCGTGACACCGAAAATGCACTTCAGACTATAGGTATAACATGAAAACAAAAAAAGAAATTCCCCACCCCCAAAAGAGTACTTTGAAAACTTGCAATGGAGTTGGGTTTAGAAGGCATGTTGCTGAGAAAGCAAACTCCACTGAAAATAAATATTACAGTTTAATAGACATATCACACATTTATTCTCTTAAGAGATGAAAAACAGTCAGGGGATAGGAAAACAAAAAAATAATGAACTGTGGTATGTAACTCCTTTACAATGAACTTTTTCTCTCTTGGAGTGGTTTTGTATTTATACTGCTGGCATGCAAAGGCACCTACGGAAGGCATTTAAGTCTAACAGTCTAATGACTCAACTAGAATATGAACTACATTCTGCGCGTGAATGAGTAAGCAAGTGAGGATGATGTCAATGATAATAATCAACACACAAACTATAATATGAATACAATGAAGAAGAAAAGACAGGTTTGATAGACAACACATGGCCATAACTGGTAATAAAAATATATATAGCAATACTGCACCAATATTATTTCACATGTTCTGCCAACATTGCTCTCACCACAAAGCAGTAACACAGCGAAGTGGAACCTCCATGGCGTGCAAGTTCTGATGTCCCGTTTCACTGGTGCTAAATTACCAAATACTTATCAGTATTGATTATAATGGTATGTACCTGCTGCTTTAAATCTAAAGCAGGACATGTTTTATGTTAACTCGTCCCAGTCATCCCTGGTTGGGATAAGGCACTGCATGCCCCATAATTCAGTTGTAAGGCTCATTCAGCATCCAAACCAAATTTCCAAAGACATTCGAAACACACCACAGGTAACAATATTAATAAAACCACTGTAAAAACTGAAGGCTCCTACCATATTGCATACACACACTCTTAAATCAAACCTGTCTGCCAACATATAAATTCGGCATAAAATACAGATTGTAAATTGGATTTTGTTTTTCAAGCTGAAGGAACGATTATTCTGGCACATGCTATACACAAATCTAAATTTATACAATGTTTATTAGCGTGTCAGATGGAAGCACATTACAAATTGATTGGAAGCTGCTAGAAAATAAGATAGAAATATCTGACTACATAGCAATATGAGAAGATCTTCCTGTTAAGTTCACTGTGGAATGCAAGAACATACAATGTGGGGGGAAAAGAATTGTTCCCACTGTCCCGTTTGCCCCTTTATATAATCAAAGAAGAAAAAATTATTTTCCATCCATTTTGGATACTCTAGTTAAAATCGGAGAAATTTCATATAAATATAAATAAAGTTTGTAGAGTTCATTTACAGCATGTAATATACGTATAACATGATCAAACAGACCTTTCCGGCAGATACCATAAATGCACAGTGTCATTTTGTTCCTTTGTTATATGGCTTCATAGCAGTGCTGTGCTGTTTAAATAAAAATCACGTAATAGTAGATCTCACTGGTATGATATCATTTGAAATATGATTAAGAAAGAAGCTTTCTGTTAAAACAAACTTGAAGCCAAATGCAGTTAATGCAACAAAATTACCACACACAAAAACCGGGGGCCATTAGACGTTTAAATTATCAGTGTTATATCAGATATGCTTGTGTTTCTTTTTCACAACAGCACCACAGAACTTGTCCGTGAAGCTGAACGTTTTACACGGATATGCACCAAGTACGAAAGACATTAAAAATGGTTCCACAACAAACAAATTATAACATTTTAAGTTAATGATTTTTTCATTTGTGACATCCACATTAAAATTTGTACTTATTCTATTTTCAGTCTATTATTTAAGGAAATAATGAGTTCAAAAATTGAAAATCATACATACAGCACAAGATAAATATTCCTGATGTGTAAATCTGGGCAATTTCTTTGATTAATTAGTATAATTTCCTTATGTTTCGATTCACGAACTTTGTAAGGTTCTTGACAAAAGTTATCCCACTGCTTCTCCCTTGTTAAAATAGTTTTCTTCCATAAATTCAGTTTGCACATTACAACGATCAGGAAAGTGACATCCCACAGCATCACTTCACAAAGCAAATCAAAGAAATATATTACGAAGTTGTTGTACGCCAGCTTGTAAGAGGGCTAAGTTAATATCCCCTCTGGATATAATATTACATCTAGGCAAATAATTTCTCTTATGCTTGTCTGTAACAATTGGTTTGTACCAATCAATGCAACAAATGTTACAGCAAGTACTCGGCCACGATTCTCATCCTGTGCTAAATACAGTATTGACAACTGCAAGCCAACCTGATACAGGGCTACAATTATATATGGTTTACACTGTAGCCTGGAAGACCCTTTAAACAGTTTTGGTCTAGATTCTTATAGTATACAGTAACCAACTTAACCTATGATATTTTCCAGATTAACAAAATAAGGGAGATTATCATGTATGTACCTTTTGAAAATATTAAAATGAAAACCAATAAACAGACCACAGATACTGCTTAAGAATCCTATTCAGTTTTGTCCCCTACAGACAGCAGAACAGCCAATGGGAACAATATTTTACTCAAGTTTCATAAAGACTATAATCCCTCATAACCAGGGCCCAGATTTTGATGACATGTCATCTTTTTTCCTTGTATCCCATTCAATGCCCATAAATATATAAATCCCGGAGATGAGCTGCTGGTTATAGAAATGTAACTCTTATAGGTCAATTTCTATTATTTTTCAACATTTTTAAGTTTTAGGTCATTTTTGGTAAAATTTTGGACTCTTAAAGGTATTTTTTGTCATTTTAGCCATTTTAGGGAATTTTTCTTCACATGTTTTCGGGAATATGAATAATATGCAAGTAAAGTGTTCTTTCTCTTTCTCGTGCCTCTACAAAGGCAGCCTGCAGCTGCAGCCCAAATACCTGCTATCACAGCATGCAATAGTAAGTTGTAATAATGTCCCATCCGTTACGATTGTTTTGCCGAAAGTGTTCGCAATATATACCATAAAACATTTAAGCTGGCAGCAGGGTATGACAGTGGTCACTCACACTGTGGCCCTTTCCAAGTTCTGTGCAAAGGTATTTGCTTAGTTACAAATATTTGTAGTCAGAATCCATTGCTTTTTGTGACATATTGTTGCTCAATAAAACTCCGTTTGTCTTCAGTTCCTCACCCTTGACCACACAGACAAAGATACTGTTGACGAAAGGTTCTCAGCGTGAAAAGTTCAGTTCTGTGTTGCACTAGAGTGATTCATTTTACCATGATACCTAAAGCAAAGCCATCTAAATCGTGTCATTTAAAGCAGATTGTGGCTAGAGATGACATATTTTCAACTGACAGTAACATTTTATACTTTAAGATGTGTGGCACATAATTGGCGGAAGAAAAAAGATTCACGGTAGAACAACATATCGACCGCAACAAGCATATACGAGCAGTGCAAATTTCAAACAAAAAGGAAATGTGCAAATGTTACTGCAAGTGTTCACTGGAAGGTGGAAATAAGACACTGGATTTTTTCACAGATCTGTGTGATGCTCTGGTGTCCGCAAATATTCCATTTTGGACTAACAATGAAAACCTGAAAATTTTTCTGGAAGTGATTTGTGGTTATTCTACCCCAGATGACTCCACTACTTTTCCAAGTGCTACAACAATATCCTGGAAATGATTAGGAATAAAGTGCATGGGAAGATTTTTGTTTCTATTGATGAGATCTGTGGCAGTTTCGCTATGTTTCAAACCTTATCATTGGAACCTTGGAAATTGATGGACCAGGTGAAGTGTTTCTGCTCACGAGTGAGGTGCTAGAATCCGTTAATCATTCCACAATTTGTAAACTCTTTGACAGGTCAATGTTTCTACTGTGGCCAGAGGGTATACGACATGATGTTGTCTTGCTTTCCGTGACTGATGCAGCCCCATATATTTTAAATCAGGCAAGTCAATAAAGTCGTTTTATACAAAATCGGTGCACATCACTTGCCTAGCTCATGCACTGCAGAGAGTGACGGAGAAAGTGAGCTCAAGATTTCCTCAAGTGGATGCTCTCATGTAGAGGATGAAGAAGATTTTCATTAAGGCTCCAGCTCATAAAACACATTTTAAGTCTATGGCTCCTGGTGTTCCACTGCCACCAGAACCCGTCATTACAAGGTGGGGAACATGGATTCATGCTGCAATTTACTATACAGATCATTTTCAGGTAGTGAAAAACATTGTACACTCAATGAAGACGGAGGATGCGAGGGCAATTGAAGCCGCTCAGGAACAGTTCTTGTGCATCAAAATGGAAAGACAGCTGGCCTTCATAAAGGCAAATTTCATTTCCTTCACAGAAGGAATCCAATGTTTGCAGGAGAAAGGAGCAACGCTAGAAGATTCTCTTGTTCTTGTGGAAAAAATAGCCAGTGATTTGGAGAAAGCGTCAGGGGACACTGGTAAAATGGTGTCAAGAAAAATGAAAAGTGTTCTAGATAAAAACTCTGGTTATGAAACATTATGCAGCATTTCTCGAATTCTGACAGGAGAGTCCTTCAGCACTTTAAATCTTGAAGAAGTACTGCTAGTGATTTGGTACACTTCAAGTATGCTCCCACTGTGTCTGCAGATGTGGAAAGGAGTTTCTTCAAGTACAAGAATGTGCTGTCAGACAATAGGCGTTCACTCACCTTCGAGAATGTCCGCATGTTGACTGTCATCTATTGCAACTCTGAATGAGGTGGCACTTAAATATTGGAATATATACCGTATATGTACATTTCATTAGCGTTCCAATGCGGTAGAAAAAATCATAATAAAATGTTTAGCTCCAAATTCAATCATATATTGCTTAATTTTCGACATAAAAACTAGGAAGAACTTAAAAAGAGTAAGGATGAGTTCACAGTGTTAATAAAGGTTAAACATACATTTTAAAACAATTTGTAGATTTTCCATGACACGATACATTTTAGGTTGTTTTTTAACTTTTAGGTAGTTCTTCTGGATTTTTCCTGTCATTTTATAGGTAATTTCTAAAATATTTTACATCATCAAAATCTGGGCCCTGCTCATAACATATTCTTGCTCATCTCTTAATATGAGCCTCAACATGCTGTACTGTACCCATATGCCAAGTCGGCTTCTCAGTTTCCATTACTCATACCAAGTTGATCAAACAGGTAGCCGAACTGTCATAATTTAGCACCAGAAATTGGGAACAAAGCCTACACCGAACCCATTCCCCAGTGACCACAAGGAATAACCATCCAACTGTGTGATCAAAAGAGGGACACTATGTATCGTGCTAAACATTTTCTAAGAATTATACCTAAACGAAGTTTTTTTATAAAATAGCACTTGAAAAAAATCCTACCTGAGTGACTACAGAAAACATTTTTTGTTCCACTTTTATAAATATTGAATTTTATTTTTTTAAATTAAATATATTATATATATATAATCTGACTCTATGTTAATAATAATAATTAATAATAATATAATATCTACTCTCTTTACAACTTATGGTACAAATGCTAGGACAGGCATCTCTGTCAAACACAAAAAATGCTGATCTTGCTGTTCCTTTTAGAAGACTTCACAAAATGTTACATTATTTTACTTTTGTCCCTAAATTCTCCATACAGAGTTTCAACAAAGTTGGTCTCCTTATTAAAAAGTTTTGCTTCATTAAGGCGTTGATGATATTTCTTTTTCTTGAACAACTAAGGACTGTCACGTCCTCGACGGCAACAAAAAAATCCACACACTTATTTTCTATCTTGACACATATGCAGTCCTCATCATCATACAGAAGTCTGCAGACTGTGACCATTCAACCAGCAGGAAGTCCCTTTACGAGGAAACAGAACAAGAAGAGAAAACCTGACAACTAATAAGCAGACGCCAAAATGCAAGACTGTTGAAAGAATAATGACTCTGACGTAATTGGAAACAAAATATTTTAATTCTATTATAGTTTTGCAAACCACAATTCACAACATAATGGTTGTATTTAAGTATAAACCTACATTCCACACTTTGCCTCCATTGGTCCTCACTCAAAATGTGAGCATGTCACCCTGTGTCACTCAAATCTGATATCTTTTAAACAAGAAATCCCACTTCGCCTATAAACATATTACACATTCAATTCTGATATACATATTCACATTGTAAATTAAAACTTATTACGAGGCAGAGTGTAAAACTTCAACATTTCTGAAAGCACTACCACCTGCCAAGACCCAGCTGTCAACTAACAATCGTCATTTGAGTAGTGCCAACGCTCATATATAGTTTCCTGCATGTACTGTATACATGCACTGAGTGCATTAAAAGTCTCCCACTGCATTTCAGCCAGGATTCTTCAGGATACGGCGCTGTCGGAAATCGTAAACACGACGACAGAAGAACACCAGTTCAGAAGCTACACATCCAGGAGGCTGTCTGTTCCCTCGGGGATATCCTTCATGCTGTGGTACCACCAGTCCAGGTTCCTTGATACCCTCCTCCGTTCGACGCACACATTTACGGTACCTGTAACCACATAAACACATAGTAATGTGTGGACAAGAATGGCGACTGGGTATGTATGGTATTTAGAAAGTTAGTAACTTGTAACAAGTCATTTATTCCCCTAAATGAGTCACAAATGTCCCTGTTCTTACTGCATGTTGCAAGCTCATTAATTCTGTCTTCCAGATATTAACCTCCTTTTAATCCTGAAATGCCCACTGGTTTCACATCTTACACTGTTCAGTTTACCTCCAATCATTTCGCTCAGATCCTGAACCACTACAATCTGACTTGTTTCCTTTGGTCCTTCATCAAACTATGCCTGAATAATAACCTCAACTTTACTGAGATGAGATGTTATTTCTCCCCACATCAAATCTCTGCATTGCTCCTTAACTTACCATGACCCATGTCTTGCTCAACTCTGGGGGCATCATGTTCAGAAACAACCTGCAGCTGCCTTCCTGTGCATGTCCCCCTCCCCTTCTTCCTACCTGCTTTTTCCCCACTCCTCATGAAGAGCATTCCTCCAAAATTCATGATCTGGCCTTCGGGACAATAAGTGCCCTGACTGTAGCAAAGTTGATGGACCTCTGGTTGAATGGGAACCTAAATTGGGTTCCGCCTGTTTGCGCTAAATCCTTGTCATGGATATTTTCCCTGGTTTATGCACCTCTGTTGAATCTCCCTGGTTGGTATGCATATTGTTGACTTGAAAGGATTCTGACAATGGTGTATACTGTACTTCTTTTGGCTTATTTTGTACTTCATCCATTGTCTGGTATGTATAAGACAAAAGACCACGACATTTCGGAGACTGGATCTGTCTCCGTCTTCAGGTCTAGCTCTTTCTAACGGGCCCAACTGAGTAGGTTTATCATTTGCCACCCACCTGAAGACGAGAACAGATCCAGTCTCCAAAACGTCGTGATCTTTTGTCTTTCACATACCAGACGATGGATGAAGTCCAAAAGAAGTAATGCATATTGTTGTTTCATTCTGCTTTCGTTTTATATTGTGTTGTTTGTATTATGTTCTTTTTAGGCCTTAATCCCTGTAGTCCACAGCAATGCAGGTTTTGGATCACACCAAAATCAGTGGTCACTTTTGTTCAAACACAATTGCTTACTGCATCCATTACAGCCTCATTATATTTTACTGTACCTACTTGTTTTAAAGTTGGCACTAACTTCGCCGACAAGTGGCGGTCACTCGGTCAGCATAGTTCACTTGCGGACTACAGGACACGGAGTAGCGTGCAGAGCATTGTAATGCATCCCAGTGCTCTCCTGTTTTAATGATGCCTCATACTTACTTATTAATTGCATGCTCAGTGAGCCCCATTTCTACAATACCACTGTCTTTGTTCTCACTTTGCCTGCATGATCTCAAGTAGCTACCAAGGGTCCCCAGGTGGGGTAATGATCTATCCGCTGTCATTTTTTTTACTTAACTCTTCCCCTGGAGAGACCCTGTCTCAAGTACTAGTCTCTCTTCATTATTCCACAATCGCCAGATGATGATTAGTACCACAGTCAGCCCCTCAGAAAGAAGGGGCATCAAGCATACTAGAATGCTATCTCCTCTCTATCAAAATGTGATAAATCTGTGTGTCTTTCTGTCAGGGAGTGTCAAGTGAATTTATGCAGGAATTATGTACTCCTGATAATTACATATTTGGCTATGCCAGAATCCATTACTCTTTTTTTTATTGCTAGTGGGGTGGGACTAAGTCCCTTGCACTGTGGCCACTTCTGGCCTACTGTACCATGCATTACTCTTACTTAGTCCGCATGAACCTGCCCCTTACATTTCCTGTGTCAAACCTCATGTCCATTTTCCTTTGCTTAGGTCAAAGTATTTGCAATGTTTCTAATGTCTGATCTTTAATATGAAGACGCCTGTGTCAGTGATCTTTCAACTTCGCAGTTATACTACGATCAACAGGTGTTACACTAAACATCACAACTGTGTGGTACCTGTTTTGTCTATGTGGTTATCAGTATTTTAATTAGTCCATTCACTCATTACTTCAATATCCTTTCCACCTCATTAGTGATTAAATATCATATCATTCAGTGTCATATACGCTGAGCACATTAATGTGTCATTAAACTAAAAAGTGATAACAATGGGATCAAACTTTTTAAGATCTGTATCTTCATATGTTTCCATGTTTGACACTGTAATCAGCTCATCAGACAGTTCATCTCTACTTGCTGGAAGTACCAATGTCAGATCTTCAACTTAAGTCGCTTCAAACTTAAGCAATATTTTTAGCCACTTTTTCTTTTGTGTATCTTGTATCTGTTTAATGAATTAAGCCCTGTAATGGACTCAGGCATGGATGGTGGGCCATTCTTGCAAGCACTTTGCATGGACTTGGACCATGATGGCCATGTATGTATGTATGTAGTATACATTACCACAATGCAACAAGACTGTTGCTAAGCAGAAATACGCTACACACACTCTCAAGTGGGTTTTGTTTGCAGAGAGTTCAAGTAAATGATATGTAAAGTATATTAGCGGCCGCGCCATAGCTTAAACGGTTAGTCCCTGGCTTCCCACCATGGTGGCCTGGGTTCGATCACGGGTCTGGTCAAGTGGAATCTGTGGTGGACAAAGTGGCACTGGGGCAGGTTTTCTATGAGTACTTCAGTTTCCCCTGCCAATCTTCATTCCACCAATTGCTCCACAATCACTCTCACCTATCATCTGGGGCTGGTACAATAGGCCAGAAGTGGCCGCAGTACAAGGGACTTAGTCCCACCCCACTAGCAATAAAAAAAAGTCTATCAGCCATACCTATCCACATGCACTGTGATATCTTATTCAACATTATCATCCTTCCACAAGGCAAGCTGCTATGCCTCAACATTTGGGCCTCCTGGTTGGATCAAACATTTGTCAGCACAGCAACTTGCCTTGCTGAAAACTGACACCTTGAATCAGAAAACACACTGCATGTTGTTCCTTATAATTTAAGGGACTGTATACTTGAATTCAGTCAAAATAAAATATACTTCATTAAAAATGACATACAGTGCAGTCTCTTTCTGCACAGCAACAGAACACTGGATTAAACACACGTGCCCTTCCTGATCCCACTTTTACACTGTGGAAGTAAAATGATTCCACAGAAGTAAGAAATATACACAAAAATTATAAAAGCTAAAACAACTCCATCCAGTGTGACTATTGAAGTTTTTATTACTTAAATTCTTAACACCCTTACATGTTTCGGTCCTTATAGACCATCATCAGAGGGACATCGATACTGTTTGGAAACCACTATTACAATAGGTGTTCTGAGTGTTAAAATATATACACATACAATGTTTGTAACACACAATAGACACAAAATCCAAAGTTTTCACAACTACAGCGACTGTCTTGGTATACTAAAATTTTTAAAACTTCTGTTATTTAAGTTAGAATTTATAAACCAAATAGATTCGTGTCCTTGCTCTTATCGCCCTTCTTGATGGGGGCCGAACTTGTGCCGCCTGTCTCTCTTGAGAAGAAGGTTCTTTGATATCATCCTGTGTTTGTTCATGGCGCACTGTGTTGTTGTTTTTTTTTAATATACCAAGACAGCCGCTGTAGTTGTGAAAACTTTGGATTTTGTATCTACTGTGCATTACAAACATTTAACGTGTTTATATTTTAACATTCAGAACACCTATTGTAATAGTGGTTTCCAAACAGTATCGATGTCCCTCTGATGATGGTCTATAAGAACCGAAACATGTAAGGGCGTTAAGAATTGAAGTAATAAAAGCTTCAATAGTCACACTGGATGGAGTTGTTTTATGTTTTATAATACTGTTAGTGTGATGGACCAGAATGAAACAAATCAAATACACAAAATGTTAGCCAATCATGGTGTATACATTTAAAACTACTAACATGAAGGAAATAATGATGAGAAACTAATGTACTGCTTAAGGTATCAAACATGCAGAAATGTAAGAAACCTCAACCCAAAGTACGTGACATACCTGCAATACTCATTGAATGTAAGAACATAACATTTGTCCTCAATGCAGGCCACGCTGCTAATGTCCCTGTGTTTTGAGGCGAAAATCTCATCTTCCATGTCTTCCAGTCTGCAGCCATGATCTATGTGTTCTGGACGATAATACCACAGCAAGGATACCATCATTTCTCCTACAAAAAGCAAGACAAAACAGTTATAATTACTCAAAATGCATAAATATTTTAGAAAATGTGGATTTATTAATAGAACTGCCAATTTCTGCAGATAACTGTCAACAACAGTCATAACTATACTCAGGATGAGTGTTTTGTGTTCAACCTGGCAGCTTCCATTTCTTCTACATATATCATTTAATTGATACGTAACATTCAATTCTATTACAATTGTATGATTAGGGTTTATGTCCATTTACTACTACAATAAGACAATGAAAATGTGTACTCCACTGAGTACACATATTGTCAAATGTGCACTCTGCAATTTATCTTAGTCCAGCGATTTTGAAATTCATGTCCTGCAGAAACACTATCACTTTTGAATTATATGCTTCTCTACATCACAAAATATTCTGAACTAAATTCCACACCTTGCTCAGGCAAGGCACATAAGTACATATAATGTCACCTGAAGACAGAACATGAATATTTCCACTTTCTTTGAGTATAGGGGTGATCACCCCATCAACTAACCAGAAAAATAAATGGCATCTCCTAATGCATGACCATGTACAGTGAACAGATAACATTTGTAGGATTTGAGGTTCTCACAGAAGTGGTTATGATGAATTCTGTCCTTGTGATAGAATGCCATGCAGTCAGATGTCAGCCAGTGTTTCAAAAGAACATGTCATCTCCACTGTCAGGGTGAGAGAGTAGGCCAAGCAAGGAACCAACATGAAGTAGACAGCAAGCTGCCTCATTTCTTGCTTGTCTCACACTCTCCAACCCTGAACATGGAGGTGAAATATTCCTTCAAAATGTTGTTCGACTTCCAATGGACCACACAGTGTGATATTCCACACAAATGGGCACTTCATAAAACTTTACTGTGTACTCCTGCACCTGGCGTGGAACATGAACTGTTGTGAAGAGGCGTGCTATGTTGATGGGAATGGTCAAAGAAGATTAATGCTGAACATGCCGTACTTTTGGAGACTGAAATCCGTTTTTGGATTCTTTAAAAAAAAAATATGATCCAGACTTTTTATGCAGTGTGGTTAACTGCAATAAAACTTGGCTGCGTCAATATGAGCCAGAAACCGATCAGCAATCAATGCAGTGTAGATCCAGAGCTAAAGAACACATGAATGTCTAAATGCAAAATCAAGACAATGTCCATCATTTTCCTTCATGTTAATGTTACTGTCATGGCAGAATATGTTTCACCCAGCTGAACTGCAATTCTTCTTGAAATTGCAAGAAAAATTTCAAAGAAAGAGAATGGAGTTGTTGGAGAATGTTGAATTCTACGCCAGGATGACATACAATGCACCATGGTTCAGCAGTTTCGGCAAAAGAAGGAGAAGGGGGGGGGGGGAAGAATAAAAAGATAGTTTCTGTGCTCAATTCCACACCTTACTTACTAGATCTTGCTCCAAATGGCTTCTTCATTTTTCCTAAGCTAAAATAATGTGTTTGAAACATACACATTTGCAGTCCATTGAGGACACAGGAAAAAAGACAAGACCTGCTACATGGGCTGTCGCAGAAGATTTTCAGAAATGCTTACAGGCATGAGACTAATGTAGCTGCCAAAGAGAACCTCCCCAAATGAGATATACCTGGTAAAGTACTTAAACTCTCAATACATTCTTTTACGATAACCGTCTCATTATTTAGTACCCACATCCTGTATTTGGTGCTTAACTTTCCATCTTCCCCTGCTGTAGCACATTGTACCATGTTTTTACACAATTCTACACACATGCATCAATGAAGCTCACCATCATCAGGGTTCTCCCAGAGGGCGGCAACCTTAGCAACAAAAGGCAAGTCCATCTTTCGTGGTCCTGACTTCAGTAAGATGCAGTCACGGGGACGGATCACATCCCCTTCCTCATGACGCATCATAGGGTAGCATTTCCGTATCTTCAGCTCATCATCACTCTATAAACAATAATTGGCAATAATCAACACCTCCAGATCATGACCCTCCACGCAATGCAAGACAAAGTTGTAGCCGGAACTCATAAAGCCTACTTTCCAATTGAGCAGACTTTCATTTCTACAAAGCTCGTGTTGTGTCGTGTGACACAAATTTATAATTCAATAATAATAAAATGCAATTTACTTCATGTGTTAAAATGATGAACTAATTCATATATGGCCACTGAGTGAATCGCATGTTAATCTAAACTTTTTCAGTTTGAGGACCCTACTCATGTCAAGATTACTGTCTTCTGGAATGCTACTGCCCCTGCCACTTTCTCCTTGAAACATTTATTCCCACCTCTTTGCTTGATGTCACATTTTCTCTCACTTCCTTTCATATCAAAAGTCTGGAAAACAAGTGCTCCCCTAACAGCCTTGTTTCCTTTCTAACTTTTCCTACATCTGTACCCTCACCTTCCCAATCCAAAAACACTGCTATCTTTTCATTTCTTTAAGTAACTTATAACAGTATACACATCTTACATTCCAAGGAAGTGTGGGAATACAATTTAGAATTCTGTTCTGAAGATCACAGAAATATGTGACAATATATTGGATATTATCAAGACTAATAAAAACTGGAGCATGCCAAGAAACAGCATTCTTATGATCCTACAAGTGCTCCCACAACTTCACCCACATTCACCATTTCAGACTCTCATGCAAGTCAGGAAAGAAACATACAAATTATATAATACTAAAGAATATAAAATTACGTACCGAAATGAAGACTTTGCTTTCAAATGGATTGCCAACAAATTTCCAGCCATTGGACCACTTTGGTGACTGTAGAGATTTCTTTGGAAATGCCTTCCTAGAGAGAGCCGCAACTGTCATGTCTTGCTGCTGCTGTACTTGTTTCTTAAGTGTTGGTACACCATCATGTCGAACAATCAGAGATGCAGATTTCTTGGACTGATCCTTCCTGCTTCCTGTGGATGTTCTCCTGACAGCAGCAATGGATGAAGGGTTCTGAGAGGGACAACTGGACCCCTTTCCTTTAGAAGCATTAGTCTCAGCATCATCATTTGATGATGGATCAGACAATGAGCTGCGCAAACCATGACTACGCAACATATGGCTAACTCTTTCTGTTTTCTCACTGGGAAATGTTTCCTCCAAAGCAAGAGACACATGTTCTGACCTTTTGCGTAGGTGAGTTCCCTTTCTTTCTACATGAACATGGCTGGCATTTGTTTGAGCAACAGGGACCTTTGAAACATCACCATTCAAACAAGTGGAAGTAACCTGCTGTTGTTTCCCACCTTGATGCCTCAAGCACGGTTTTCTCTGAAGAGAAATTATGCCATTGATCTTGGTTTCTGACTTCCTGCGCTCCACATTTTTATTAGCTGATGTCTTTTTAGTCACTGGAGTTACATTTGAACTACTGTTCCTCCTTGTGGTTGCAAGGGGTTCCACGTTTATCTGACCTTTGTTCACAACGCTGTCCAGTACTTCATCAATCCTTTTCATGGCTTCGTGGTCTGTCACCTTCTTGGCTTGTTTCATGCGTGACGGATATATCTTGGTTTGTAACCTACGAACTTTGGTTTCCCCTTTCTTCTTTGATGCACTGATGACTGGTTCCTTATTTTCTGTTAAATCTTTAGCGTCATCAAGCTTCCGTTTTCGTACATTGTGCTTCATACTGTTTAAACTGCAGATATTAGAAGAAAGAGGCTGAGATTTCTGCCCATTCCTGGACTTGATCTGTGTTTCGAGAGGAACACCATTCACTTGATCATCTGGCTCACTTGCTCCATTTTTAGTTTTGTGAGGTTCTTCATTTGATATTGTCAGTCTACTGGTGACAATAACATCTGTAGTTGAGAGCTTTTGTCTTTTTGGCACTGATGCACCCGTTTCAACCCTCGCAGTGCTGTTGTTTGCTGGTTCAGCATTCCTCTTCCGAGATGAACCATTCCTAAATATGGTTTTACTGCCATTCTGGGTCAGTCCAGGAAATTTGTTATTTTCTGTAAGTACTTCCTTTTCCAAGTTCCTCACTTCCATTTTCACACTGTTGCTCACCACCTTTGGATCTACAACTGTCACAGCCTCTGGTTTTGACGACATCACTTCTGCTGAAAACGGTCTCTTTTTCTGAACCTCAGGATTACACATTAGTAAAGGTATAGCGTTGACAGCTGGAGACGTCTTTTTCTTGGCTTTTGTCCTACACACACGCACCTCAGGCTTCGTCACACTATTGCTTATCGCTAGCAGACGATGCTTTGAAATGTTCGTTTTACCCACAGCCTCATCGCTTGGTATAGTTGTCGTGCCAGTCTCAAATTCTTTATCTGGCTTGCTGTGCACTTCTTGGACAACTTCTGGGGTAGAAGGCAACTTTGTTTCTCCTACAGCGTTCTGATCCAATGGCTCCTGCTTGTTGGCTTCCAGTTTAGATTGTGCTTCAGTAGCTGCTGCATCTAGTTCCCACACTCTTTGTTGGAAGGCGACTTCCTCTTGGGTATGGCTAGGGTTTCGAGCAGAAGCAGTGGCCGGTGATGGAGGTGGAGGCATTCCAGCACTTCCCCGAGCTGGGCTAGGGGGTCCCAGAGCTCCAGGAGGTTCCAGTGGCAGTGCTAATGCCACAGGTGGCAGAGGCTGCTGATGAAAAGATGGTCCAGACTCCGGCACAGACTGCTGCTGTTGGTTTGTAGTAATGTGTGGCCCCTTACCATCACCAGTAAGAGGCCCAGTATGGACGTTTTTTGGACACGACTGCATAGGACATGGGCAACTCTGGTATGCTGCATCTGCAAAAAGCAAGCTTCATATTACTGGTCTGGTTCTAGGTAAGGTACCAAAGCACAAACTGTGACCTGTAGCGTAGAATATGTTCACTAACGTAAAAATAGCTTGTACTGAAATAATAAAATGAATATACAGCAGTGTTCATTACAACTACTAATTCTGATGTGAGAACTGCATGTTTAATTTAACAGAAACCTAACTGAAAATATTACACAATTAGCCTCAAATAAATGTTCTAGTAGCTGTGTACACAATAATTACGATATACTCATGACTGTTCTCATTTTAAGACAGAATGGCAGTCTAGTTGGTGGAAGAATGGACGTAGAAATTACCTATGAAGAGGCTTCTAGTAGGGGAGTGACTGTAACAACCTGCTGCCCCAGGACCACGGCTGTACTCGGGGTAGTACCTGGGTGGTGGTGGTGGTGGGTATGGGTCAACAATTGACATAGGTGGTGGGTATGTATCCACCAGTGGAGGAGGTGGATTGGTTGACACTGCAACCAGAGGTGGCGGAGGTGCTCCAGGGGGTTGGTAACTGCTTGCTGAGCCTGCTGAGGAACCGGTCACAACCATCTGTTGGCTCTGCTGACCCTGGCCAGAATTCTGCTGACTTGTGTTGGGTGCTGGGCTCGAATAGAGATCTGGAGTGTAATACTGGTGGGGCGGTGGAATGTAATGCCTGTGATAGCCTGATGGAGGTGGTGTTGTGTACGATTTGTGGTGAAAGTATGAGGCAGGAGGATAGTTTGCTGTGGTTGAATAACAGAGATCTTGATTGTGATAATGAGTGTGATGCTGTTGAAGGGACGGAGGGTTGGCAGCAACTGATGAGTACTGAATGCTAGCCGAAGCAGGGGGGGAGGGATAGTACTGAGTATGAGGATAGTTGTAGGTGTAGGACTGATGGTGAATATGCTGGGGTGTGGATGGTGTTGGAGGTGGGGGATAAGGCTGAGCGTATCGATAGCCGACTTGATGCGGATGCTGCTGAAGTGGTAAGGGCTGAGGTACTGGAGGTGGAGGGGCAACTTCCCCGCCCCCAGAGCATGATGTTGCCGTGATAATCACGTCGTTATCTGAATCGTCTCCGCCACTACGAGCACTGCCCCCAACACTTCCACTTGACGTCGCTGAAACAATCTGCTGGGCTGTTGGTGGTACAACTGCAGATGTGACTGTTGTCGGCACTGCTCCTGGGCCACTGTGGCTTGCCACTGAAGGTGGTGGTGTGGGATTGGGTGATGCCTCAAGAGTGGGGAGCACAGCTTGTGGCACTTTTCCAACGTTGCTGCTACTGCTGCTGATGGAACTGCAATGCTGATGGTGGGCTGAGATCAATGGACCTGCAGGCTGATAGTAACCTGCAACATATGCAGTCAGATCTTCACCTATTTGCATACTGTGTTCTCTATAAAAAACTATTCTCAGTTAAAGTACAATCTCTATTGCTGACAGGCTCAGATGTTGACTTTTAACTGTTGGGTAATGGTGGGACATATTTCTTTCACTAATCTCAAACACTGAATAAATCCAGACAATAAACAGGCCCCGGTGCTTTTGAACAGTATACCTCACAGATAGCATAGAAAGAGTTAATATGCAACCACTTTCACTGTCTGCAGCCTGTGCTATGAGACCTAAATATAATTCAAAGTGTAACCGAGCTAAAAATCAGTCAATACTATGGAAGCAATGTGGAGAATTAAATGAATGAAAAACTTAACATTTCTGAGATCAGGGCTTTTCTTCATATTTCCAAATGCTTGCAATGTTTTCAAAATGAGGAAGATGAAAAGAGAATACAATTTCTCTCAATTTAACCATACTGTTGCAATATGTGACTGAAGCTGAACAAGCATCTCTATGACATTTCAATTTTTTTCAATATTAAGAAATAATCACCTCTTTTCACTGCCATCACTCGACTTCATTAATACAACTATGAAAATACATTTTTTACTTCTCCCCTCTTCATATTTTTACTTTAAAACTGACACCCAATTTCTTAAAGATCATTGTTTATATTATCGCCAAAATCTACGCCTGGGCCTCCCCCAAGGGTCCCTTCTTCCAAGTTCCACAACTAAGAACTTATACTCAATCCTAATCTCTCCCAACAGGTGCGATATGCCCTACCATCTCATACTCCTCTGTTTCATCGCCCTAATAATGCATGGTAGAGTACAAATTATGAGACTTCTCATTACGAAATTTTCTCCATTCTCCTATAACTTCCTCTCCCTTACAGCCATGGACGCTTTCCAGCAACTTTGTCTTAAACACATGTATACTTCATGTTCTAACCGTACTGAGAGAGACCAAGTTTGCACCCGTACAAACCGGGGCAAGTGAACAGATATATAATATTTGTAATGACGGCTGCTGTGTTAACGTAATTGTAAAACATTATTGTGTGTCCATGACGCGAGGCTGACGACCTTGCTCTGTAGAAAAGTAAATATTGCTGTAAATCCAAGGAAGCGAAAACCGGACGGTTTAACTCACGACGGAACAGACAAGTCTGGCAGGATGACCTAAGGAAGGCTGTGGCTCAAAAATGGGCTGGTTTACTAATGAAGAAGAAGACAGTGCATAAGGGTTAGGTGTGCAAGGAAAGAAAATGGTTTATAACGGAATAATATAACTGCTATATGTGAATGTCTGGCAGTGTATTTTGTGCATGAAGGCCAAATCACTCAACAGCCGACTGTTACAGTTGGGTAAGTTACGACAATGGCCGGTGTGATACTTTGCCGCCAGCTGACGAAAAAGAGAGGTTATATATGTTTAACCAAAACGTCTTTTTATATAAATAACCTTTGCCGAAAATATTTCTCTGTCAAATTCAATATCTTGGTATACATGAAGCTGTCTTTCCAACAATTCGTAGTAAGTTACGTATTTTTTATGACTGCTTTAAACAGTCTCCCGTTTATAGTTCAACGGGCTTTATGTTGTCGCGCTAGTGACCACACACAGACATTGGACCGACTACTGAATTTACTTAACGCTCATTACGCGTAACTACAAATAGTTACACCATTCTTACCGTTCTGCACACTCTACAGATAACTACGGCACATTCCAACTATTCCGCGTCTGCTGTGTATTCACTTACCTACATGGTAGATGTGCGTAACATATACTATTCTTGGTTCTTCCATACTTAACGTCTGCTGTTCTCACTGACGGACTGAATGTCAGAGTCAAAATACAGTTACTGGCAATATGAAGCTAACACGGACAACGCCTCTTCACACTATTGTTTCGTCCGTATTTGTTGCGCTGTTACCTAGCTATGCCGCTTCCCTAAGCTGTTGCGTGCGTATATATCGCGATGTTACATAACAGCACTGCCCCCTCCCCTCGCTCGTCGTGTGTATTTATCTAGCTGTTGCCTAGCTACGTCACTTCCCTATACTGTTCCCTGTGTATTTATCGCCCTGTTGCATAGCAACGCTGCCTCCTCCCCTCGCTCTGCTTTTCCGGCTTTCAGGGGGCCATGTCACAATAATATTATACAGCGAGAATTACAAAACATCTTCTGTATACATATATTTCCGTCTTAAATGCAACTTATTATGTAGTCATCTATCTTCCTCACTACATGTTTCGGCCGCATTCCGGGGTTAATTTATTTTAATTAGGAAATACAGCGTGTACACGCGATACGTACTTTAGACATACAGTGCAACAATTTTAGGAAGACAAACAACACCAGATGATGGCCATATGCGGACGAAACATGTAGTAAGGAAGAAGGGTGACTTGATAATAAGTTGTATTTAAGACGGAAATATATGTGAAATAAATGATATATTAATGCAACAGGATGCTTACCTCTCAACCAACATACTCGATATGCTGACCTTGTTCTGGCGAAATTGTCATTTGGTAGTGGACACTGTGCGTGGAATTACGGGAAATTTCACACTGGCAACTATAATTAAAGTATAAACCACGGGGTCCTTTCGCTCAAGTGCAGCTAAATAAACAAGCCGAAATTGTTACTCTGGTTAAAGAAATCGGCAAATCGAAAAATGTTTCAGGCAAAACTACATACATTGCTAAAATCAAGTCGATTCTAAAGAGCTCTGACGATGGTGTACAGCACTCAGAATTACTGGGTTTTGGGCTCTGTTTGCTATTCTAAAAACTAGAGAACACGACGTTTCGGAAATTGGACCTGCTTCCGTCCTCCCTCTTTCCGAGGGACACAACAAAGTAGGTCTCCCTTCACGGACGGAAACAGATCCAGTTTCCGAAACGTAGTGTTCTATACATTTTAGAAGACCGAACGATGCACGAAGTCAAAAAAACTCCAGTAATTCTGAATGCTGAAGATCTGTTTTGAGGTTAACACGTTATAGTAATATTCGACGTTAAATTTTGGGAATTAAATAATTAATTTCTTTTCTGAATTCATTTTAAACGACAATTAACGGCAGGAAACCGCGTCACGGTTGTCGATTGTCGATTGCCGATTTCACACGAAGGATTAGGAATGCTTTCGAATTATATTTCAGTGTTCAACCTTATTATTATCATTTTCCACTCACTCACGGAGCTGAGCATTTCTTGAGAAACTGCCGGCTCTGCAGAATTTCTAAGCACTTTATGGAACCCGAGGGTTCATCACCGTGTTCACAAGAGCCCTCCACTGATCCCTATCCTGAGCCAGGTCAATCAATCCATATCATCCCATCCTATCTCTCTAAGATCAATTTTAATATTGTCACCCCACCTACGCCTTGGTCTTCCTACTGGTTTCTTTCCTTCTGGCTTTCCCACCAATATCCTATATGCATTCCTCTTCTCGCCCATTCGTGCTGCATTCCATTCCCATCCTATCCTCTTTGACTTGATCATTTTATTATACTTGGAGAAGAGTACAAGTCATGAAGCTCCTCATTATGCAGCTTTCTCCAGCCTCCTGTCACTTCATCTCTCTTCGATCCAAATATTCTCCTCAACACCCTGTTCTCAAACACCCTCAGTCTATGTTCCTCCCTTAATGTCAGAGACCAAGTTTCACAGCCAAACAGAACCACAAGCAAAATTATAGTTTCATATATTCTAATGTTTATGTTTTTAGACAGCAGGTTCTGGACTGAATGGTAGCAAGCATTACCCGAGTTCAATCTCTTCTTAATTTCCTCCTGAATTAGGCCTTGGTTTGTTACAGTCGTTCCCAAATATATGATCTGTGCCACATTTTCAAAACAACTGTTACCTATCTTTATGTCACGATTTTTCCCTTCATTCCCCTGCTTTCTCTGCGTTCATTTCTAGACCAAACTCCACAATAACGACAAATACACACTCTGTCTGTCATCCTTTATACGTTTCCCACTCCTTGAAAATTTTATCATGGTCCTCGAGGAGCACTACACTACCCACAGATCTCCACAGAAGCAACAATACTGTTTATGTGAGGTACTGCAAAGTCAACGACCTTGTGCGAACTTCTCCTTACATCTCACTCCCCTGCTCTACTCAACAGTGGACACCTGGATCACGGTCGGCTGGCAGATTCTGAGCGAAGGGAATGTCTTCATTTTTTTCGCAACTACGTTCTGGCAGGGAACTTAAAACAGAATCCTCTCTTCAAGATATAATAAGTAAGACACAATCAAGTATATTTCGGTTTTACGCACTCATTCCATCTTCTGCCAATATCTCCCTAGGTCACAGCTTCCTTTTAGTTTACAGGCCGGACAGCGTAGTCGGTATTGCGACTGGCTACGGGCTGGACTACCGTGGGGTTGGAGTTTGAGTACCGGCAGTGTCAAGAATTTTCTTATCCCCACGTCGTCCAGACCGGCTCTGGGGTTCACCCAACCTATCAAATGGGTACCGGCGGCTCTTTCCCCGGGGTAAAGCGGCCGAGGCGTGAAGCTGACCACTCACCTCCAGCTAATGCTGAGGTCAAGAAAATGTGGATCTATACATCCACTCCCCCAATACACTTCATGGCGTAGTGCTTAATTAGTTAAGCACAGGAACAACTTTACCTGTTTCAGTAGTCTTGCATCAGGCATTCTGTACAAATAATTTGAAATCTGATAACCCATGCGTTCATATACTCCATGAAACCAATTAGGCTATTTAAAATGTAATTAAATGGGATCCACGACGAATGACGTAAGTATCTGTCTAGTACGTTTCCTGCTCAGAATGATCTGAAACAAGGAGATGCTTTAACGCCACTGCTTTTAAACTCTGCTTTAGAATATAGCGTTAGTGAGGTCCAGGAAAACGCAGGTGAAGCTGCAATTGAATAAGACACTCCAGCATGTCGTAGTCTTTGCTGATGTTGTAAATCTATTGAGAGATAACATAAGTACCATAAAGAAAAACA